ATATACAACGAAGCACTTGATTAGTTCACACATAGGGTTAGATAATATATTATTAAATACTCTACTTTGTTATTATCATTGAATTTCTCTATTAAATCAATTCTAAACTCAATTGTATTCTCCATTTACTGACTTAAGAGGAATGTTTCGATAATCGCTTTATTATTACCACATTTTTCACAATTACTTGTATTTAAAGCCACAGTTTAGTGGACTTTATTTCAAGACTCAATTTATCAGTCAATGAGAAATACTTTTGAGAAAAACGATCGCATATTTGTTCATCGATTCTTTAAATGACTAGAAAATGACACTTTGAATGACAAATTGCATGAAAAAACAAATAATTAAAGTATGGATTAAGTTGTCTGCACAGGGATTAGCGGATACACCAGTTATTAATGCGATACGTGTTTAATGTATATTAATAGAGGATTAAACTAGGATTTAAAGTTACATAAATTTTTAAACTAAATAAATACTACAATAACACGATTTTGTGAATGTGTGTACAGGAATGGTGTGCCGACCCAACCATTCAGTTACGAATCACGACAACAGAGCCCAACGTTGGTCTCGTATTGGCTCTCCTAATAATCATAACTTTGGTTATTGTGATTATAGCGGTTATAATAATGTATAGAAAACAGGGAGCAGTTTATTACACCCACGAAGACGAGCGATACGACGACAAGACTGTGTTCAATGTGTCCGAAGCGGTGCAGAGGTTCGCGAACGCCACGCAAACGCCTCCCCTCTCGCCGGACAGCCCCTCATCGATGCGGTCGTCGATGCGATCGTCGACCAGCGGCTCGTCGGCCACCACTCATACGAGAGCCACCTCTCCTCACACGACACAATCGCAGCCATCACTGCCGGCCACTCCCACTCCCCCGCCCTCCACATCATCCAACTCTCACACATCGCCCACACACTCATCGGTGCCCCCGTCGTCGCCCCCGCCCTCGTCGGCCGCCTCATCGTTGCCGCACTCATCCAACACACGACCAAAAATCATTGTTTAGACCATTATTTGTTTAAATCATACGAATGTTTAACGCATAGAAATCTATACAAATTATTACATAAGTCCATAGATTTTATAATAATTATTTAAAACTATTGAAATTTAAACGATTTTTGAGAGAATTTTATTAATAAAAAACAAATTATTTGTGATTTTAATCTGGCGTTTGATTTATTTTATTAGATATAATCAGAGCTTTTTTACATGTAATTAATGTTCAAATTCATAAAACAGAGTTTATTATAATAATTAATTCCTAAATTATGGCAAAATAAAGAGTTAACAAACTATATATGAATTTTTATGCCAACACTTTAGTGCAGTTTTTTATTTGTTTTCTCTCACAAAACAATTCATTTTCACGACAAACAATTTTTTCGTTGAAAACATTATGTTTAATGAATATAACGTTTAAACTAATAGTCAATTTAGGGCTAAAATTCATAATTCATGACAAAAATAAATTTAATTATTCTTTTGAAATGAAAGGATGTTATGCTGTGTTATGTTATGTTAGCATTCATTCAATACTACAGTAGATTTAATCTCTTAAATAGTAACGACTTTTGCAAATATTTTAATATAGAAAAGATTATTCAAAAATAGATACAAAAATAGTTTTAAAAAAAGAAATAAGAATAAGAAATCAATTAAATAATTAAAATATATTCTCAGATATAAATCAGTATTTCAAGAGTGGATCTCAAACACAATACATTGCAGCAAAAGATTGCGGTTAAGAGTAAAACAAATGGCAAGAAATAGATGACCCAATCATCGAGATTCTCGAGAAACAGTTTTTGCTTAAATTTGAGGCAATTTTTTATGATTGAAAAGAGAGTTTTATTACATTGTTTTTGGCAAATAATGACCGAAAGTGTTTATTTAGTGAATGAATTGAATGTTTACAGCAGTTTTTTGCTCATAAATATTGAACATATAGTATATATTAGTAGTGCTAACGAATGGCACACATTATCTATGATTATATAATATAATGCCCGCAATGATAGCAATGATAGGTGTGTCCCCTCTTCGCCACAATTTCAAGATATTGAATCACTTCCACACCCTTTGATCAATAAATTGCATGATTTCTATGCAATTTGATTACAATATATTTGTCCACAAATTCTTGAATATAACTTACGCTCCAATGAAATACACGATCACTTTAATTATTCTTAAAACAATTTAATTATCACTTTATTATAGTCGCGATTCTTATGTTAAATTCCTTAACCGACACTACATTTGATTGATTTCCCAAAAGCAAAGACACTGTAATTTCAAAATGTAATAAAAAAAAGTTTTCATATTTGAAAAACGAAGATAATATTCTCATATGATTAGTGAAAGGCATTGAAATCTAATCTAAACATAAGAAATGTAATAAATTATTGATAATTGAAAAACAGCAACAAATTTAAAGTGATTTCCAATAATTGGTTTCACGAAGTGATTGATTGTGGAAATTATATTTCGACGACTAAAATGATTTTTATTCAAACTTAATGCAAATAAATAATAAAAAATATTATATAAATATTAATGATATTTGAATCCCAAGAGTGTTCATATGGAGAGAGAGAGAGTTGTACTGATGGTAAGATGACTTACTAAACTCCATTCTTGCATTGAATGCAATTCCTTTCCATTCAAATCGATGGGTTGAACACATTTGGCACAAGACTTTCGGTCGTCTTTCTCGCAGGCGTTGGTATAGGCGGGCGAGGATTGGATCCATTCCATGAGTGGCAACACATGACACCGAAAACAGGACCACGGATTCGAGTCCAGGTATATGACGGTCAGCGATGACAGACTGCTTAGTGTCTCCAACACAGACTCCGAGAGGCCGTACATTAAATTGGACGACAAGTCCAGCGATTCCAAGTGTTTCAAGCCTTCAAACAGTTTTGCACTTATATTAACAAATTTATTACCACTCAAATCAATTGAGTTAAGAGTTTCCCTTTGGTTTAAAAATACATTAGACGGAAGACTGTCCTCTAAGTTCATTGAACTCAGCGATAGTATTCTTATCGACTTTAGCGGTCGGATTAGATTAGCGACACTTAACGCCGAGTCGTGTAAATCGTGATTGTTTTGGGTGTTGAGTGACACCAGCGATACGGCCAACGGTTCAGTGATGTCCGGCTGAAAGCTCATGATTTTGTTGTAAGAGATGTCCAACTCTTTGACGGTTGAGTTACAGAAAGTGCAGCTCTTTATCGACACGATTTGATTGTGAGATAAACCGATTTTATTGAGACGCAAACCGTTGAATGCATTTGAGTCTAAAAATGTCAAACTATTTCCGTCTAGATATAGATTCTTGAGTTTCTTAAGGTATTTGAATTCAAACGGAGCGATCGCTTCGAAGCGATTATTTTTGAGGTCCAGTTCTTCGAGATTTGGCAAACTCTGGTAAATGAGTGAATGGAGTCGAGATAGTTGGCAACCATTCAAATATAATTGTCTCAATGGTTTCAAGTCCTTGAAGTCTTCGGGCTCTATCTCGACGAGAGGGTTGCCGCTGAGGTCGAGGTACTCGAGCCGCTCGAGTCGGTAGAAGAGTCGGGGCACCAGTTTTGTCAACTTATTTCGCGCTAAACTGAGTCGAGTTAAGTTCGTTAGGAAACGAAACGGCGCTGAAGGCGAACCTGTAGTCAAATACATAACATTATATAATCAATCGATTGCATGTCAAGCACTGGTAATTATCCATTAAATCCATTCGTTTCGGTTTCGCAAAACAACATTTAGCAAAAAGTTTTCTTTTCGCCATTTATTTCGATACGTAAACCAAATTATAATATATATTCCGATAACTAATCATTTAATAAGAAAAAAGGTTATATCTTGTGAGAGAAAACATATTTAAAGTTTGTTTACTGAAACTGTCTGTCTGTCTATCAACTCAACGCAACTATTAATTAATTTTCAAATACCTTCGAGACTATTATCACTCAAATTAAGTGCCGCTAAATTAGTCAATCCGTTAAAGTCTGTGTCGCGAAGAATCGTAATGTTATTATAGCTGAGGTCCAGGACCTCAACCTTCCTTCCCGGCCAGAAGGACGAGTCGCCGATCGCCGGAACGTTACTGTATTTAATATGAATTTCTTGCAATGACTTGAAGTCAAGAAATATCCTTCCGATCGTCACTTGGTTTTGATGATCAGGCGGTGCCGTAAAGATTAGGATCTGTTTTATAATGTAAATCAACACTTAATATATCATCGCAAATGAAATTTCAATTTTTAAACATAAATATTCTTAAATAGATTTTAAAATATGATTAAAAATGTTTGCAATAAATCTAACTTTGAATAATAATATACAATTTTAATGGATTAATGACACCGTTCTTAGTGTTTAGTCTGTTAAGTATAATAAAAAAAAAATGCAAATACAGTACATGTGCTAAAATAAAACATTGTTTAACATTGTTGTTAATTAATGCCCTATAACAATTTGCTATATTATAAAACCATAACCAAAGTCATCCAATTTTAAGAAGTCTCAAGATTTTTGTTATCTAATTATAGCTCTCGAGTAGATATTCACTGTTTTTCAATCATAAACCAGTTTTTCAATGCATTTTAATTCCTATCAATTATTCAAGAATAAACCAAAAATATAATCTCATAGACAGTGATTAATACTGTATAATACGGTATATAATAGCTCTTGGCTTCAAGTGTTTGTCTAATTTTGATTTCTAATTAGTTTTAATATCAAATTGGATTCATCTTCTTATCCCTCAAATGATGACAAAATTGTTTTTTCATCAAACTTTGAAATCCTATTTCTTGCATATCGATAGTCCTATAGTTGTATAAGTCATTCATGTATTCGAGATTAGTGTTGAAAATTGATTTATTTTTTCTACTGTCATATCCCTAACGAGAACTCCTTTAGTTTTGTTTATTTCTTTTGATTTGATTTTTGATTGACTGCCCCTTCAGCCCAATGATAGATATAAAACATATCTGTTTCTCACTCTGACATTGAATTCAATTTAATTTTATACTTTTTAAACGGTTTAATGACATGTGTGTTGTTGTATGGGTCGGGCCATCCGTAGGCGCTATTCAATTTCACATATCATTTTCCCCATTATTTCAATTAAAATGTTTTTTTATTTCACATAATATATTAAATGAACTTATTTTAGACGGAATTGTTTCATTAAATAAAAACATTTCAAACTTTTTTAACCTATGGTTCAATCCATATAATTATGTAAACTTATATCAAAAAATTAAAATAAATTTCTTATAATAAAAATAATACAAAACATTAGTTTATAAATGATTTCCTAATAAGAGAAATAGTTGTCGTAAAAATGCAATTGAATGTCAAACTGAAAGCAAACATTTTAATTAATGAAAATATTTCGTCGATGAAAAAAGACATTCAAATAATTCGTGAGACTTTTTGTTGAATTTAATTTGATTTTAGAAATATTATCTAATATTTGTTTAAAATTAATTACTGGCGAACACTATCTCTCCCTTCATGTCTAACCTCTGGAGACATGAGTTTATTAATAATGACACTAATGTTGATTAAAATGTAATTTATAGGTAAATATACAACGAAGCACTTGATTAGTTCACACATAGGGTTAGATAATATATTATTAAATACTCTACTTTGTTATTATCATTGAATTTCTCGTTTAATAGTCGAAAAAATGTTTAATCATGTTATCTATCGATTGTCGGAAATCCTACGAAAATATTTGACAATTTCTATGAATTATTCGTTTTAATGTCTTTTCTCACTGATTAGTTCACCCAAAATGATGGTAAGTTTAAGTATAAATAAGAGAAACACTACTTTACTGTATATCTTAAGAGTTAGTTCAAAGAGTGTGCCGGTCTATCAATTTGCAAAGTCATATATGGGATGTATTTTTGCTAAAAATATATGAGTCTTTTATAGAGAGACTTGTGTTGAGAGACATGTCTTTATTTATCAAATCAATGTGAAAATCATTGCTTATTTTCCGAAACAGCTTTTATCACTTTCAAGCAATTCCTGAGCACTAAAAACTCATTGTCTCTAAATTCTTACATAACAAACACATTCATATGAGAGGGTATTTTCATGTTATTCTCGTGACTAAAAGGGTGAGGGGTTATCCTCTCTGAGCCCTATCTCTGAGAAATATCGATAATTGATTTCATGAAATGAGTTCATTCATTGGACGCACGAATCAATTAACTGATTATTATTATGCTTTTTAGGAAAAATATAAAAATTACATTAAAGTTAGATAAATATTGTTTCATAACATATCGTAAACACAATATTTATATTCTGTTTACGTTTTTATATCATATTAACTATATTTAGACGATTAATTCAATGACAAGAATTTCTTGCATTTCATAAGAAATTTGTAATATTTTGTTGAATTTTGTGATTCACTAAAACCTTTTGAACATTTATATACAAATTTTATGTCTGAATAAACTAAACAATTAATAATAATTTTATTTGGTTGTAAATAAGCCGATGGTAATAAAGTTTTATTTTGTTTAATATAGTTTTATTTCACACCCGACCACTCCTTTCATTTTGTAATTACTTGATTATAAGGTATAGTAGTTTTATAAATGTAAATTATATTAAAGTGTCATTCATAATTTAATTACTATTATAAACTATTTAAATCATATAAACATTTGTTACATTATTAAAACGGTAAAATTTTCTTTAATAAACTTCAATCATTTTCAAGTGCTATTAGAGGAGCGCAAGTCTTATACTGTATTAAACAGTAAAGTAATTATCAAATATATTATGCATTCATTTCACTCCTGAGAGTAAGTTTACGCTAAAATTAGTTAAATTATAATAAAAATGGTTTTATATTTGAATATTTTCTCAATAATAGATCAATGAATACATAATAATAGTTATATAGAAATCAATTGAAAGGCAATAGAGTGGAGGGAAAGAGGGATAAGTCATACGTTAGCCGTGTTATCCATTTGTCGAGTGGGTATCTCGAGTCGGTCGCCCTCATCGCAAATGACCCGTTTCCTATCAAACTGATCCAGGTCACATTGTCTACATGGACACTTTGTCGTCCAAACCACACTCTCTGTCGATGGCATCCGGCACTCAATCATCCCAATAATCGCCACCAAAACTAAATACCCGACAATAACTGTGAAGCCAGTAGTGGTGACCGAAGCCATCATTTATTTGGCCGAAGACTCGACAGTCCGGTCGCCAAAAGACGACAAATGCTTTGCACGACAACAACAATAATAACACAATATATTTCTCGTTTAGTTTTTGAGATGAAATACAAAAAACAAACTTTTAAACACTTTTAGCGCTCAGGATTTTTGAGGCGAAAAGTTTTTGGTGAATAAAAGCGGCGTTTGGTTTGCATTGCAGTCCTCATTGTGCGGATCGCATGTGAGGTGTGCTCTCATTCTCCAGGAGTTATAACATTACAAAAAAAAGCTTTAAGTCTAACAAACAATGAGCTGAACGGGAGAACCGCTCCGGGAGTGACGTCTAATACACAACGTTTTCAGACCCTCTTTCTCTATCTCCGCAGATGTATAGCCAGTGCTCTCTCGCTCTCTCAATCTCTCTCTCCTCGCTCTCCCTCTTCTGCGCACTGAAGCAAATGGATATCAGTTATCAATGTATGAAAATGCGAACCAAATTGACTCAAACACAGAGTTTATATAAATTTGATTCAAATTGTATTCGTATTGAAGAACAGTGTTTGAGAGGAGAGCGGAGGCACACAATCGACACAAGACCTCTAAAAGAGTGAGAGAAAGCACTTCTTATCACTCAATAGTTACAGGAATTATATATTGAATGTAAATTCACCCCAACTTCTGGCCATTTTCTAAAAGATTTGCGAGTTTTTTTAATATTACATTTTATTGTCTGTTTTGCCCGAAAACACACACATAAATATAAATTTATATGAGATATACATTACATAGATCTGTGGTCTAGAGTTTGTGCACCAAATCTAAGGGAATAGTTTCATGATTTTCGTGACTTAGGGGTAAAACAAAGTTAAACCCCCGAAGCCTTTGCCAATGAGTTTGCCATTCGTTACTAAATTTATGGGCAGAGAGTGTCAGCTCTTCTCATATTATTAATCATACAAATACTTGTGTCTCTCATATATTATTAACAACCAAAAAGCAAATCAATGCAAATGCAAAACAACCATAAAAGACAAGTCATTCTTTTCGACCATATATTTTCAAAATCTAAACGCCTTTCAATTGATTTCATACAATGCGATGACTTTCTTCACCCAAACACACAAAAAAATGTAATTTTCTCTCAAAAACATCTTCTTTTCATATTTTCAAGTTTTAACAAATTATTTAATATTAAGAGAGAAATTGTTAAACAACTTATTCTCGCAATGAATATCAAAATATGTTTTTATCTAAACCGAAGTGACCTAAAAAGTCACATCATTAAGACTACGCCCCGTATTCACTGCCATATCTATCAAGAGATCCAAAGATGACCCAAACCTTGCACTGAATGCTAGTCCCCACCAAAACATTGCTTTCTCTTTCATCAATGATTTTGTTTAAAAAGTTAAGTCGTCTGTAAATAATTCCATAAATAATATTCTTTGGAGACAACAACATATTTCTTAGCATTTATTCGTTATTTTATGTGTATTTCATAACAATTAGTAAATCGTATTCACAATTAAGTATTCAAGTAATTGTAAGTAAAGGCAAATTCATAATATGTTTATCATTTATATGTCAACAACTATAAAACAATCCTTGAATTTAAATATCGGATTACTATTTCTATTAAACATCTCAAAATTTAGAGAGAATATGGGTTAGGTATCCGACATCGGAATCATGTGAATATACAATTTTGCTTCTATTGATTTTGTCAAAAGCCTAAAACCAGTGCTTAACTTACAATAATGTACTCAAACTATAGTTTGATAAGAGGAGCAGGGTAGTTGATGCCAAGTTTCGACCAACATCATAATCATGGTCAATGGGTAATCATAATTCTACGGTTATAATGCGATTAATTTTTCTAACATGTAATTTTGTGGTTATTTTTTTAACACTTTCTTCATTCATTCAATGAATGGCAACCCTTTTCAATGGTTTCGTGAATATTAAGAGCGCCTATCGTTAGAGTCACGCCAAGAATGCGGTTCGAGTCGCGACACTTCCGCCCAATTTGTTTGTGTCAACCCTTTAACCCAAACCCCCGACCGAGACATTCAATGCACTCCTCGCCAAAGCCCTCACCCCCTGAACACACGGCTGAGACTACTTTGGCGGGCGACGCCTCGTCAAAGAAAGTCCCGTTGATCTCCTCGTTCTCCCCTCTTGTGAAACAGTTTTCACTGCAAGAGAATGTGTGTAAAGCAAAGGGTGTGTCCTTTTTATCATAACTTATTATTTATTATTGCATTAAGAGATGGCTTTAATTGAGTATTAGATCCACAGATAATAGCAGTCATTCAGATGTTTGTGTTTAAAATTGAATGAAGTCTTGTTTGACGATTGGATGTCAACA